CTCCTCCTCCGCATCATCATCATCATCATCGTCGTCGTCAATCATCACCACCACCACCATCACATCACCATCACCATCACCATCACCATCATCATCATCATCACCATCATCATCATCATCATCATCATCATCATCATCCTCATCCTCATCCTCATCCTCATCCTCAGCATCAACATTATCATCATCATCATCGCATCATCATCATCATCATCATCATCGTCATCGTCATCGTCATCATCATCATCATCATCGTCATCATCATTATCATCATCATCATCATCATCATCATCATCATCATCATCATCATCATCATCATCATCATCATCATCATCATCCTTCCTCCTCCTTCCTCTCCTCCTTCTCCTTCCTCTCCTCCTCCTCCTCCTCCGTCTCCTCCGTCTCCTCCCCCTCCTCCTCCTCATCATCATCACCGTCGTCGTCGTCATCATCATCACCACCATCACCATCCTCATCCTCATCCTAAGCATCATCATCATCACCACCATCCTCCTCATCCTCATCCTCATCCTCATCCTCATCATCATCATCATCATCATCATCATCATCATCATCACCATCATCATCACCATCATCACCATCATCATCACCATCATCATCATCATCACCATCACCATCATCATCACCATCATCATCATCCCCCTCCCCCTCCTCCTCCTCCTCCTCCTCCTCCTCCTCCGCCTCCTCCTCCTCCTCCTCCTCCTGCCCCGATTTCGCAGCGCGCCCGGGCCGTCGGTGGCGCCGCCGCCGCCGCCGCAGCGCGGCGGCGCGGGCGGCCGCGGCGGCATTCCGCCCCCTCTGCGGCGCGCGCGCGCGGGCGGCGCCCCTCGCTCGCCCTCCCCCCAAGGGGGCCCCTGCGCCGCCGAGGGCTGGTGGGCTGGCCGGCGGCGAGCCGAGGGGGGGGAGCTCATCGCTGCCCCAGTACCCATCGGTCGGAAGAGAAGTGGGTAGGAACACGGAGTAGGACGGCATCTAGAAAAGTACATTGGGGCCCGTCCGCCTCCCGAGGAGGACGAAAAAGAGGTGACGCCACTCGGTCGTTGAAGTAGGAAGGCTCTCAAAGTAGATTGGAGTCTGGAAATCCAAAAAACACTTGCTTTCAACCACCGATGGATACGCGACACGCAGCACGCAGCGTACCCCAAGTATACCTCAACAGTTTTGGGCCCCCCAAACTGCAGGGCCCCCCCGGACGACAAGGGCCCCTCCCACGGACTACAAGGGCCCCCCGCCCCCGGACTGCAGGGACCCTTCCCCGCAAGGGCCTTCCCTAGACTACGGGGACCCCCTCTGGACTGCAGGGACCCCCCCCCGGACTATCAGGCAGGGCCCACGCTCGGGCGCGTCAGGCACGTGCAACCACGGAGATCAACGCGTCACCCCCTTGGACTGCAGGACTCCCCCGTGGACTACAAGGGCCCCACCCCCCAGACCACAACGGCCCCTCCCCCCTTTGGACCACAACGGCCAAGCCACGGGGATCAGGCCCCCCCCCCCAGACTAGAGGGCCCCCCCGGACTACAGGGGCTCCCCCCGGACTCGATTGGCCACCCAAAAGATTGAGATACTCGGAGTAGAGGTGCGGAGCTCCACGCGCAGACTGGAAACGCAGGTCTGACGCGAGACGTTTGCCAAGACGTGGGCCAATACGCTGAGCCAAGTCGCCACGTATTGACACGGACGCTTTGAGCACGGCAAGTGTTGCGTGTCGAAACGGGGGTACCGAGGCAGCTAAGCTCTAAAGCCCTCGGGCCTTCTGACGAGTTTTCTGTGTCTCCAGGGAAGGCTCAGAACACTTCTCACAAGGCCGGGGGACCCCCGAGCCTGCTGAGAAGGCCCGCCACTCCTCACTTCCCCCCGGGTCCCGCCGCCGAGCCGAGGGGGGGTCCTCCGACGTGCCTTGAGCCGAGGCGCCTCGAGAGGAGGCTCAGAGGTAAGACGAGGCCCCTGAGATCCGGAGCACGGACACGGACGGCGGCCCGTCACTGTGGCTTCGCCCTCTGGAGGCCCTCGCCGGGCCCAGGGACCGCCCACGAACGGCGCAGGCCGGACATCCGGTCCCTGGCACTGGGTCGAGGCTTCCCTGGGCCCCGTACTGCACAACTCGGAACATCGGATCTCTGAGGCCAGGACAGGGACCGAGGCATGATCGCGTCGTGAAAACATCAAGACGGGGGGCTTTGGGCAGTTTTCGGCGCCTGGGAGCCCTCGCCGGGCTTCGGGACAGTGAAAAACGACTCGGGATGAACGACCGGTCCCGGGGAAGGGATCGGGACTACCAGGCGCCCCGCATGGAAAAAATCACAAGAACGGATCTCTGGGGCCATATGGCAGGGACGAAGTCGGACAGGGGTGAATCGGCAATCTCCGAGATCAGGCGGCTTGGGAGGACGCATCGGGCGCCGCGCCCCTGTCGGAACGGACGTGTCCTTGCCCTGGCCCCGCCCGGAGAGGGCGGGGGGGTCGAGGCTGGAGGTTGGAGGGTCGAGGTCGGGAGGGTCAAGGTTGGAGGGTGGAGGCTGGGGGGTCGGGGCCAGAGCCGAGGCGCCTTGAGTGGAGGTTCGAGCTGTGAGGCTGGATACACCCCTGCTCAAAGTCAAGAATATCGCAGGGTAGGAACTCAGTCTTCCCTCCGAGCATGTTCTGAAGCAGTATTCCAGGTCTGGACATGCGACAGGTTTACGAACCACATGCTCTGAGAGAACGTCCAGGGTCCGATCCAGATTCTTGGTCCTCTTCCACGGAATCTCAAGTCCACGAACGTTCACGAATGTTCTTGAAACTTCTGATGGCTGTAGTCGAGCTCTGTGCGTATGTGTGTGTTGTGTGTTTGTGTGCTTGTGTGCTAATGTGTATGTGTGCTTGTGTGTTTATGTTTGTGTGTTTGTGTGTTTGTGCAGTTGTGCAGTTGTGTGTTTGTGTGGTTGTGACTCTATGTGTTTGCGTGGTTGAGTGTTTGTGTACCCTTGTGTTTGTGCTTGTGAGTGTGTGAGTTTGTGTTTACGTGGTTGTGTGCTTGTGTGTTTGTGTGTGTTGTGGTTGGTTGGTTGTGTGGCTGTGTCTGTTGAGTGCGTGTGTGGTTATAAGGTGTTGTGCTTGTGTGTCTGTGCGTCTGTGTGCTTGTGTGTCTGTGTGTTTGCGTGTTTGAGTGCTTGTGTGCTTATGTGTGTTTGAGTGCTTGTGTGCTTGTGTGCCTGTGTGTCTGTACGTGTATGTGTCTGCGCGTCTGCGTGTCTGTTTGTGTGTTGTGTGCTTGTGTGTGTGTTTGTGTGTATGTGCGACTCCTTCGACCTTTGCAGGCACGTTTCGGGGCAGGAGCGTCAGACATTGATCTGGGATGGGAGGCCTGGACAGACCCTGGGCGGGGCCAGTGGCCGGCTGCGAGCGGGTCTTCGTCGAAGAGGGCGGGGTCTGGAACATCGAGGGCCGAGGTCCTTGCACGCTTCTGGGCCCTCGTTTGGGTCTGTGGGGGCGTCATCTCCTCGACACGGCCGGGTCCGCGACGGCGACCCAGAAGGGCCTGTGGATCGGATCGGTGGGTCGTCGGTCGTCCTCGCTATCCTCGTGGCTATCGCCGCCATCGTCGTCCTCGCCGTTGTCGTCGGGCGGCTCCCCTGATGGGTTCGAGCCGGGGTGCCCGGGAGGGAGGGGGGCGGGGTGAAGATGGAGTGGCGCGACGGCGCTACAGTTAAGTCGGGCGTGCCCCCCTACAGGGGAATTTTGCGGGAAAAATGGAAAAATCCCTCCAAAAAAAAGCCAAATGGGCAAAAATAGTCAACAAATCGTCCCCTGACGATTTTTCGACTATGTTTGAATGTTCCTCCTGCAGAGGGACAGGCCCGACTTACCACTACGGAGGGCGGCGCGTGCACAGCCCCTGGAGGTAGTCCCAGCTGGCCTCGAAGGGCCCCCAGGAAATTGCTCGATGGCGATTTCAACACCCCTACAGTTGGGGCGTTGACTTAAGGAACCCTAAATAAGGAACGAGGCCCCTTTGTTCCACAAGTTAAGCTCCGGTTTCCCATCGAAGGCCCAAGGAATACCTGAAGCGAGCTGCAAAACAAAGCCCCTCCCCAACAAAAAGGGTTCTTTCAACGCCCCGACTGCACGTTGCCCCCATCGCCGCGACTCGCACATGCCTGCACCTCTCGGCGACGAGCGAGGGGGGGGGGAATGAGAAGGAGAAGGCCTTCTCAGAAGGCGGCGGGACATCTCAGAAGCCCTCGCGCCTTCTGAGAAGCTGTTTTGGTCTCCGGGGAATGCTTAGAGAAGACTTCTCAGAAGACCAGTGGCCTTACGAGCCTTCTGAGAAGGCCGTCTCCTTCTCGCTTCCCCCCCGCGCTCGCCGCCGAACCCGCCCGCCACTGAACCGCCCACTCGTCGTGGAGCCCCAGGGTCCGGCGCCAGACGTCAGGGGGCCTGGCCGGCCGAGAGGCGGGCAGGTCCCCCCCTGGGGCTCGGCGCGGGAGGGCGGGCGGGCCGAGGGCAGCCGGGCCAGTGCGCAGAGGCTGGGCCAGGAGGAGAGGAGGGGGAGGAGGAGGAGGAGGAGGAGGAGGAGGAGGAGGAGGAAGAGGAGGAGGAGGAGGAGGAGGAGGAGGAGAAGCCCTGGACCTCCCAAACAACTGTCGTCTCTCAGGGGCGCATCTCTTGCTCCCCGCCGGCCTCCGCCGGCGGGGCCGCCCGCAGCTCGCCTCCGCAGCCCTTCCGCCGCACCTCCGCCGCCGTCCGCCGAGGAAGAGGTGGCAGCGCCTTCGATCCTCGAAGGCAAGGCCCCAGCTGGAGCGCCTCAGGTAAGGTAGCCCCTCCTCCTCCTCCTCCTCCTCCTCCTCCTCCTCCCCTCCTCTCCATCCTCCTCCCTCCTCCTCCTCCTCCTCCTCCTCCTCCTCCCTCCTCCTCCTCCTCCTCCTCATCATCATCATCATCATCATCATCATCATCATCATCATCCTGCCCCGCTCCCTCCTCCCTCCCTCCTCCTCCTCCTCCTCCGGTGCGCGACCAGACGGGCAGAGAGGGAAGCGAGCCCTGCTCCAAGGCGAGCAGGGGCCTCTCGAGAGAGCCAGCGCCCGCCCCTCAGACCCGCTGCGCCCCCAGGCCTTGGCTCATCCGCTCCTGCTTCGGCACGCCGATTGTCTTGGCTCCCGGGCAGCTCCTGGACACAGGCTGGTAAGACTCGTGAACCATCTGCGCCGACATGCACGCGACTGCAATCGTGATGACCCAGTGCATTCCGCGGTAAATGCTGCTCGCTATGTTCTGGCACGAGTGACCCAGGCGCTGTGAGGCGTCGTCAAACTCCTGCGCGCCCTCCACCTGTCCAAGACAGCAGCCCACCAGGCAGCCACTGCACTTGATGCAACAGCCAGCGCAACAAAGGCAGTGCGCAATTGGGCCAAAAAACGCTAAGCACTGGGCGACCCGAACCTCCGTGGGGTCGAGCCCCAGACCGCGATCTTCGCGCTGCACTTCCCGGGACACCTGGAACGCGCACATCGTGCATAGGGTTGTCTCCGCGCACAAGCAGAGCATAGGACAATCCTTCTCACCATAAGTTCCCGCCGTAAACGTGAACGGCAAGCTGGGACTACAATTCGCCAAGCAGTATGGACCGTCCCGGCGACCCTGGAAGCAGACATACCGCGTCATGTCATCGTCCAGCACTCGCCGCCGCACCCAGAACTGCACCAGGCAGGGTAGGCACGCAGAGCAGCAGCAGACCAGCGGCTGCTTCAACGGCGCACCTTCCATCGAGACTGCCCACTGCGCGCCGCCATCCTGCTCCCCAGCGGGAAAGAGGTAGACAATCGGAAACGCCAGCGGCGACGCAAAACACCCGGCGACCCTCCCGATGCACTCACCACACTCGGAGAAGTTGTCCATGATGTCTGCCACCGTACCAAAGAACGAGGAATCTACGCAACCACCGCACCCTTGACAGGCGCTGCAGCATCCAGCTGCCTGTTCAGCCTGGTCCACCAGCTCCCCCATACCCACGGCTCGTGCCGCCTGCCTGGCCACATCCATGAACGAAAGGGCGCTAGGAGCTCGCTGCAAAAAGAAAACAGGACACGCTTGGGCCAAATAGACTGCCGTGTATTTGGGGTGGGGGTAAGGATAATGTTTGGACACTGCACGAGAGGGGGGGGGGGGCAGCCAGTAGGGAGGCTTCTGTGGATGTTCTCCTACCTACAGGTGGATGTTGGAAGAATTTGGTTTAGAAGAATCAAAAACAATAGAAAGAGCACGATCGTCACCAGAATATGTTTGTATGTTTCTCGGGTACTGTACTCCTCCTGTAGAGGGACATGCCCGACTTAATGATAGTCGATAGAACCTACCTTCGTTACCACTTATCAGACACTGCTGCGAGATCGGCGCACGCCAACGCATGACAAGAGGGGGTTGGCGAATGCGGTTGCTCCAAGAAGAGCCCGTGATGGATCAACCATTCGCGTCTCGCTCTCCCCGCTCATCCTCACTCACTTTGTCAACAGAAGGGAAGTTCCGCGATCATACATAGAAGGGCGACTGCGTCGCTGACAACAAAGAGCTGGAGAACACAGAAGCCGTGAGAATGGACCTGGATCGCAGAATGGTCGTACGTAATAAGGTGTGTCCGGGTGTGTCATCCTCGTCCCCAGGGTGCGTCAACCTCAAGCACAGTCGCACTCCGGTCGTGGCCTGGAGTCATCAAAATCGTCTTGCCTGCCGCAGTTCAACATGGGAACTGGTGTCCTGGTGTCCGCACCTCTGCGTGAACTTTGCACGAGCGTTGCTTCCGCGATAGGCGCGCTTAGCGCCAAGCGTTACAGCTTGGCGGGACAGGTGCCCACTGATGCGGCTGCAGCTCACCGGTGCTCGTGTTGTACTTTCTATGCGCGCGCATGTGTCCTCAAGCCACATGTTCAGAATGCGCAGGAAACGCCAGGCAGCAGGAAGCGCCCAGGCCTGTCGGGCTTCTCCATGCGCTGGTCCACATCCTCGGCAGCACACTCGTGACAACACAAGGGCAAATGAGAAAAAGAAGAAGAAGAAGAAGAAGAAGGAAGAAGAAGAAGAAGAAGAAGAAGGTGACGAAGAGGACAACGACGAGGACGAGTGGGGAACGAGCAACGCTGCCTCAATACTAGGGGGAAAACAAACCTACCTCGCTTTTGACCACCCTCGCCTCCAAGAGATACCAAGCGATGCCAAACTGCGGCCTGTACTGGTCAGGACGCTTGACGAGGAGGCGCGTGGCATGACTTGTTTTTTTTTCTGGAAGCGAAAGCGGGGCAGGTAATTCACGCTCTGAAGAAGAAGAAGAATAAGAAGAAGGTGACGAAGACGACGACGACGACGACGAGTGGAGAACGAGCAACGCTGCCTCACGTCGTGCCCTGACCTCCTCCTCCTCCTCCTCCTGCTCCTGCTCCTCCTCCTCCTCCTCCTCCTCCTCCTCCTCCTCCTCACTACCGCCTCTCGTCATGACAGGGGGATAGGGAGGCAGTGCGCGGCATCGCCCCCCGCAGCCCCGGCGCGCGGCCGACGTCGAGGCCTGCATCTGATCCGTCCACCGCGAGCAGAGGAGGAGGGAGGAGGAGGAGGAGGAGGAGGAGGAGGAAAAGGAGGAGGAGGAGGAGGAGGAAGAGGAGGAGGAGGAGGAGGAGCAGCAGCAGCAGCAGCATCAGCAGCAGGAGGAGGTCCTGCGTCACTTGACCGATCCAATCGCACGACGACCGAACCGATCCCAGCCGAACCGATCCCAGCCGAACCGATGGAGCAAGGGTGTCGCTCCTCGGGGACGCGCAGCCGAATCCACCGATGCCCCCCAGATGATGCCGGCACACATCCCCGCATCGAAGGATGCCCTGGACAGCCCTTTGCGCCCCCCGAGCTCTGGCCCCTAAGCTTAGGTCGGGCATGTCCCCCTACAGAAGGATTTTAAACTAAAACTAAAAAAATACCTCAAGAATAATCAAAAATCACTTCAATCGTAAAAAAACAGATCGTCCCCATACGACTTTTTGACTATTCTTGAATATTACTCCTGTAGGGGGACATGCCCGACTTAACCCTTGCGCCCCCCGAGCTCTGGCCCCGAAACCGCAGCGTGGCCCACAAAGGACAACTGGGGGGAGGGGCACCGAGGCCGCCATGCTGGAGGCTCCCGTGTTAGGAGGGAGATACGCTGGGAGTGGCCCTGGCCCCCGACCAAATCCTCCCCGACGTCGTGCTCTCGACCTCCTCCTCCTCCTCCTCCTCCTCCTCCTCCTCCTCCTCCTCCTCCTCCTCCTCCTCCTCCTCCTCTCCTTCTCCCATCCTCCTCATCCTCCTCCTCCTTCCTCCTCCTCCTCCTCCTCCTCCTCCTCCTCCCTTCTCCTCCTCCGCCTCCTCCTCCTCCTTGCGCTCGACCCCGCGCCCGGGGGCGGAGAGGCCGAAAAATCAACCGCGAGGGGGTGGGGGGGGAAACGCGCGTCGATGCTTTCTCACGACGCCCGAGAGCCTGGGTGAAAAGGGGCCCCAGAGTCGTCGTCCTCCACACCTGCCCCGGGGCGCGACAGCTGGCCAGAAGGACGCGGAAAGGCCCCCCCAAAGAGGCCCCGCCGACGAGAGGAGCACCTCGGCCCCCGAGAGGCGCCTGAGCCGCGACAGTCTCCCTCGAGGGACCTCCTCCTCCTCCTCCTCCTCCTCCTCCTCCTCCTCATCCTCCTCCCCTCTTCCCCTCCTCCTCCTCCTCCTCTCCCCCATCCTCCTCCTCCTCCTCCTCCTCCTCCTCCTCCTCCTCCTCCTTTTCCTCCTCCTCCTCCTCCTCCTCCTCCTCCTCCTCCTCCTCGGGGGGATGAGAAGGAGAAGGCCCTCTCAGAAGGCGGCGGGACTTCTCAGAAGCCCCCGCGCCTTCTGATACGTTTTTTTTCGGACTTCGGGGAAAGTTCAGAACACCTTTTCAGAAGGCAGAGGGACTTCCGAACCTTCTGAAAAGGCCTTCTCCTTCTCACTTCCCCCCCCCTCGCTCGTCGCCGACAGACAGGGCAAACAAACACGCGCGACACCTCAAAGGACAAAGAGGCTCGGAGAGGGCAACATACGGAACACAACACGTCCAGAAAGGCAAAGAGCGAAGAAAACATGCTAGCCCCCTCCCCCTCCCCTCTGGATTCCTGGAACGCGCACAAAAAATGGCACGATGCCCCCCAGCAACAAACGTTGCTCAAGACCGACAGCGGCCACTGTTGGTGGGGGTCAGCGATACTGAGGAGGGAACCTCGACCTTGAATTATGGCGGCGCGCACAAGGGGGTGGATGAGGGGGGGGGCTTCTTAGCAGAAGGCTGCCTCTTAGGTAGGCGCCGGCCTTACATCTGTTGTTTTTTTCAGCGCAAGAGCCCAAACTCCATGAACAAAGACGCAAGTGAGCACTCCATTTAGCAACAGTGGCACCAGTGACCCTTCACCACGGGCTCGAAGCCATTTAAATCCTCAAGCTGTAGGAGGGAGAAGCCGCACGATCGACAACATTCGGAACCGCGCAAACGCGGGGGGCAAAGAGAGGGGAGGAGCAGGGGGAAGGGGGAGGGCAGTCCCGACCCCGCTAGGGGACGGACAAAGGATCCTAAGCAAAGCCTCGGACCCACCTGCAGAAACAAAGAGGGGGAGGAGGAGGCAGAGGGCGGAGCACAAGTAGAGGGGGGAAGACGAGGAGGGAAAGTGGGCAGCGTGGTTGCCAAAATTGACTGACACGCCCAACAGTTGCTTTAAAACCAGGCCCACGCCAGAAGCAAAAAGCACGGGCCACAAGGAAGGGGAAGGAGAAGAGGCGAAGGCAGGAAGCAGGGAAGAAAACAAGACAACACAGATTGCAATGAAGGGTGATCTAAAGGGCGACTCCAACTGGCGGGCGCTGGAAGTTCGCTGAGTAAGAGGAGCCCGCGCAGCGGGAGTGCCCGGTACATGCACGCGTACACCTACAAAAAAACACAGAACAAGGCCAATAGGAGGCCAGGGGAAGGGAGAGAAAGAAGGAGAGAAGAGAGGGAAAATGAGAAAATACGGTGAACCCAGAGTGCTGCTTCCAAATAACCACAAAGCGATAAATTGCGCTGCGGTGGAGCACGTGCCCGAAACCCGAGTGCACGCCCGCCTGTCATGACACCATGTGGACCCACAAGTGCATGGGTACTTCGAACTGTTCGACGACCCATCCGATTTATCACAAGCCGCAGCATCAGAGTATTATCAAAGCTTTTGGAGTTTAATTTTCGATGCTAGTTGCTAGTTTGCCTCCGAAACACACACTCAAATCTAGCTCCCCGGGTGGCCGCTCTGGTCGCTGGAGTCGGCGAGCTGGACCGCGCGGGTGTCAGTGAGCTGGATAGTGCGGGAGCCGACGAGCTGGTCGGCGAGGGAGTCGGTGCGGGAGTCGGCGCGCTGGTCGGTGCTCTAGTCGGCGCCCTGGTCGGCATGGAAGTCGGTGAACGGTGAACTGGTCGACGCTGGAGTGGGCGAGTTGGCCGGTGCGGCAGTCGGTGAGATGAGCGATGCAGGAGTCGATGACCTGGTCGGCGAAGGAGCTGGCGAGCTGGACGGCGCGGGAGTCGCCCCTGGATAGTGCCTCCGAGACCTGGTCCGTGCGGGAGTCGGCGATCCGGTCGGCGCGGGAGTCGGCGAGCTGGCCTGCGCCGGCTTCGGCGATCTAGTCGGCACGGGAGTCGGCGAGCTGGGACGCGCCGGAGTCGGTGAGCTGGGCAGGGCGGGAGTCCGCGACCTGGTCGGCGCCGGCCTTACATCTGTAGATGAGGCCCGCGCCTTCTGAGAACCCGGGGTGCTTCGTAAGCAGCCCTCCCCCCTCCCCCCCACCCCCCTCTCTGGGTAGTCGAAGCCAATCTGGCAGGCCCAATCTGGCAAACGGGGGCAATCTGGCGAGGGAGCCAACGCGAATCCAGTCTGGCGAATAACCCAAATCATCCAGTTTGGCCGGGCCAGATTGGCCCTTGGGGCCCAATCCAATCTGACAGTCTGGCCTTCGACTACCCAGCCTCTGCGCGTGGCCGAGGATCGGCGATGCACGACCGATGGGTCGGCGAGGGGCCCCCCGACGGCGAGGCCGCGTTCACGGGCGGAGCGGGCCACCGGGCCCCGCGCGGGCGGTGAGCGGGCGGCTGCGGGCCGATGCAGCCTCCGCTTCGCGTGTCCCCCCTATCGTTGTGGATGCCACGACAATGGACACCCTGACAGTCCTATCCTTGAAATAAAGATGTGTTTAACAAGGGTACATCATGCTCTAACACACATGTTTCACACGTGTTCCTAGCATAGTTAGAACATGTTTGAAACATCTTTTAGACATCTGGAAATTAGTTGGCAACATGCCTCCTCTCCACTTGATCGTCGTCCACAACCCTATCGTTGCCCCCGAAAAAGGAGAACGCCCGTGGCGACACCGACAGTGAGTCCTGTTCAAAATGGGCCATGACACTGAGCGTGGATGTGTCGTGCCGGTCTTGGTCACCGTCGATCTTGGTCAGCGTCAAGTCGTGGATCATCCTCGCGAATCGGCGACGGCAGACATGGATCATGGCCAAGACCTGCATCGACAGGAGCCCGCGACATTGGTCATGGTCCCCGTACCCTGAGATCCGACGTCTCGAACAAAAATGCAACACCGCTAAAACATCACGACCAGAGCCCTAGACCCTACCTTTCTGCGCCATTTTTCAAGCCAGATCGATCCGTGAGGGTCTCGATGAGAGAAGTAGATGGGGTCGGAGGAGATGGGTCCGAATAGTTGGGGTCCGAGCAGATGGGGTCGGAGGATCGCGCCGCATCGCCGACACATCGCCGATGCACCGGCGCTACATCCACGACGTCGGCGATGCATTGGCGACGTCGGCGTGGAGAAAATCGGGCTCCGCATCGCGCCTCCTCGGCGATGCACTCGGACCCCGCCTGGGAGGCCCAGAAGAAGCCGGGCGAAGAGACGCCCACTCCGAACTGGGCAGGAA